ACAATTCAGAAGTTGTGCAAGTGCATTGATAGTCAAGTAACTGTATCATGCTATTGCATCGAAAGCAAATAAGTGTCAGGTGCAAATACATTGAAAAGTATGCAAATGCATCAAAAAGTGCGCGCCATTCAAAAAATATGTCAAATTGCCCAAAGTCAAAACCTTTGCATGTACTCTAACTGTACTCTAACAATTGTGCTGTTGATATAGACTTAAATATAAGAATGATGTTTGGACTGAACATAAGTTGAATTCAAACTTACTAAACTTCGAGATGTGTGCAACCACCCTAAAAATAATTGTGCAATCACTCCAAATTTTTTTGCAAATCCTCTTTTAAAAATTAAACTCATAATTGCAAGACACTCCCATGTGGGCCATCTTGCCTATAAAGTGGAGTCATAATTCCCACTTTTCAAGTTTTGATCCACAATTTCACAAAAACTAGAGATGATAAGACTTGAATCCTATGAATTGATCCTTTTGTAATCAAGAGGGTAGGGTTGATAAGGTTCAATGCAAAAATATTCACTAAAGCATATAATCCATATGATGGATATGTTTGTAATAAATCATAACCAAAGGGGTTCATTCTCAAAATTAAGATCTCAAATTGCAAATATATGTGTTTTCTAATATCGTTCCCCGATCATGGCTGTGTTGACTTAAAATCTCAATATGAAGGAATTATATTATCAAAATGACCCTAAAATTCAAAGCCAAGCATTTTGGTTCCAAATTTTGATAGAATATAAAAAATAATAAAAGTAAAATATAAAAAAGTAAAGCAAAATAATAAGTCATCCACCCTCGTAATAGTTTGATGAGGGTGGCAAGTTTAAGATAACCGTAACTTACAAAAATCCAATGTCATATCAAGCATATCATTATGATAAGTTAAAAGATTTCACACTATCAATGACAGGACACGTTTCATCTAACTAGGCGATTTGATGGTCAAATGGTGTAATTAAATGACATATATGGTCAAGGCCCTTTGAATGAATGGTTTCACTATAAAATGACTTTATTAAATTATGGTCATAGCTAAAGCCCGAATGTTCCATAATAACCTTGACACCTTAAGTTTTGAAACCAAAACTTAAGGGTGTATTTGACATGGCATAAAGCCTTTGTTAGTTATGGTTGACTTAAAGTTATCCCCTTAAAAAAATATTTACCAAGGTCTAAGATCCATAATAACCTTGACACCTTAAGTTTTGAAACCAAAACTTAAGGGTGTATTTGACATGGCATAAAGCCTTTGTTAGCTATGGTTGACTTAAAGTTATCCCCTTAAAAAAATATTTACCCAGGTCTAAGATCCATGACTATTAACAATGATTATTTGGTTAGGTTGGGTTAAATACCTCCAATGACTAAGATTGCTTGGGATGATGTAATATGAATTCTTGATTTTGTTCATTATTATTTCTCTTACCATCTATTTTATGCTAACGATGGTAAATTTTCCCATCCTAAAATTAAATTAGTCCTATATATTACACATTTAGCACCTATTGACTAGCCTTAGTATATCTCTCATAATTGGGAGAAGCAAAAAATTGTAGGGGCTTGCGTCTTTTAAAAATATGGAACCATATCTTCAAGTCCTCATAAATTGAGGGCGAAGTCTCTCAGTAATATCTTATCTGAAATTCAATTTGTCCTTTTGAAAATTTATCCCATAACACAACTCCCTTAGAAGGGCATAGGCATGAACATTTGGAGATCACATCATGCAATAAAGATTTTTTTTTTTTGGGTCATAATCTCTTTGTTTATTGATTGCCAAAATTTTTGTAGATCTTATCAGGTTTCTTGAGGCCCAGAGGCTATGCTTTGTCTTTATGAGGTTGTGCCAATCTTTTGCAGCCTAAAAGCTATATTTAGTCACTAAAAGGTTTACCTCAAGCTTTTGCAGCCTAAAAGCTATATTTAGTCATTAAAAGGTTTGAATTTAACATTCACTTCTGAGATTCGGGGGTTATGATTAATTGTTATGAGGTTTCACCAAATGGGAGGATGGATTAATTGGAGCAGTTGATGTATAAAATTCATATAGGAGGATAAATCAGCTTAGTCTTAGAGGCATTCTTGATTCTAACTTGAGTTATGGCTTTTTAGCTTAGCTAACTCATTTTCAGCTTGTCAGCCTTCATTTGACCTGCCTCTGAGCATCAAATCGAGTCATAACCTATGAGTAGTGAAGTGGCAGAGTTGAGCGGGATCTCTAAGTCATTTGAATCCTCTTTAATCCAGACTTAGTAGAGAGCTTCATAGCATTGAGCTTATTATGGGCAAAAAACTCTTTTCATTTTCTTTGAGTTTTTGGGGTCCAATGGCTATGTTCGGGTGGTTACAACCTATAATTTATGTTAGATAAATGCAATAGATCTTTATAATAATTTAGTTAGCCATCAATACATCCAAAACAGTTAGAGGGTTTCATAACCTTAAGCTTATTATGGCTAGAAAACTTTTAATAAACCCTCTCTCAGATGCTTACAACCTATATTTCATTTACGACATGATATGAATTTTTGTAATAATTTATCAAATTATCATTTCAATCATATTGAATTATAGATATTTGCTCAAGAATTTGATCAACAACAACAACAAGCATTTGTAATAATTAGTTTGATCATGGAGAAAAAATTGAATTAAGTTTTTTATATGGCTTTTTTTCTTAGTTCTCAAGACTTAAGCATAGTTCAAGATGGGTCTCAAGTGCGAAACTTAACTTTCTTGCTATTTGGTCCCCCATGATGATTTTGAGCATCAAATCGAGTCGTAACCTACGAGTGAAGAAGTAGCTGAGTTGATCGTGATCTCCAAGTCAAGTGAATCCTCTTTAGGCTAGACTAAGTGGAGAGCTTCATGGCATTGAGCTTATTATAAATAAATTTTTTTTTTTCATTTCTTTGAGTATGTGGGGCCCAAAGGCCATGTTTGAGTGCTTGCAACCTATTTATGTTAGATGTATGCAACAGATCTTTGTAATAATTTAGTCAACCATTAATAGATCCAAAACATTTTGAAGGTTTCATAGCCTAAAGCTTATTATGGCTAAAATTTTTTTAATCAACCCACTCTTAGATGCTTATAAATTATAATCTATATTTTATTTATGATACATGAAATGGATCTTTGCAATAATTTGTCAAATTATCATATCAATCATATTAAATTATAGATATTTGCTCATGAGTTTGGCCACTTTAGTTTTCATGGAGAAAAATTTGAATAAGTTCTGTATATGAATTTTTTTCTTAGTTCTCAAGACTTACGCACACCTCAGGATGGGTCTAGGGTACTCAACTCTATTGCCACTTGGTCCCCCATGTTCAAAGTGAGCTACGAATGACGATTTTGCATGAAATTCATGTGCTTGGTTTCTTTTAAAAGTGTGGTCAAATCTTTCTTTTATTTTATTTTTTGTGTTTCATTTATCAGTAATTGCACTTTAGCTCATATGCATTCAATGTTTTGGGTTGATGTGTCCCCTTGTTTGCTATCAGTACATTATTGTTTCGACCTCTTTTTTTTATGATGAAGAGGCCATCCTATAAGGGCATTAATTTGACGAAGTCTTCTATTTGGTTGGTTGCTTTGAACTTCTGGAGGACTAGATCTCCTTGTTGAAAGTTCCTTGGATTTGTCTTGGGGTTTAATTAAGCGATTCTTCATTTTTCTTCATGATTATGGTGAACTGTTTCAACCTTGCTTCCTCTAATGTTAAGAGTTCTCTCGTGTTTTAACATTGTTGGATCTCCATTGTGCAATTTCTTTCATTTGGATTGGTGTTACAGCCTTCACTCTAGTGGTTGGTTGGAATTAAAAAACTAGATGTAGAAAAGTTATTCAACTCCATAGAACAATAGTATGGTGTCTCACCGATTACTATTAATGGGTTCATTCGATTATACCCGGCAATGAAAATTTGTTAGCCTAAAGACCTCGTAGGATATTTAGAACAGACTTGTTCACTGCTTCAACTTGCCGATTGAATTTTAGATGGCTTATTAAAGCAAACTTTTAGTTTACTCAATTCTATGTGTAGATTTGATGCTGCATTGGTTAACCTTGGGCTATAAGAAGGCCATGATAAATGAGCATGGTAGTTTATAAGAAGTTCACCCTGTTGAGGCTGTCAATTTCTCGAAAGTGATGTCTTTAATCCACTTGGTGTAGTAGTCAATTAGGACTGATAGGAATCTCTTTTCTAATGTCAGAGAATGAGGATGCCTCAAAGATCGATTAGAATAGGAAGGAAATCATTTTTAACAGAGGGGATTGCAACGCTGTCGCTGGCTTGTGGAGCGTGAAAATGAAAAGTTAGGGCTCAGATCTGGAGTTTATTGGGTCTTTTATGACAGTCATTGCGGTTGCAAATCCAATTGCAAAGGCATGACGTGATTGAAGTGAGAGTGTTGCTGGCTGCTCGCTATTGTTTTTGCCTTGAAACCAGATGCGAAGTTGTTCGCAAAGCTACAATATGCATGCAGTGTTCTTGACGTATCCTCTACTTTGTTATAAATAGAAGGAGATCATAAATACTGGCTTTTTCCTTATTAAATTCAATTTAAAGAATCCTTGTTTATCATTTTTTTTAACTTTTCTTTCTTATAATATTCTCTCCTCCCAAGGTTCGGTCAGTTTGCTTGGAAACTTGATAGCTACTATATATGACTCTTCCTATTCATTTTGCACCTATTAAAAATTGGTTCTATTTGGAGGGATAATGCTGATTATGGTAATTAATTTGTGTTCGAAGTATCATACAGAATGGTTCCCATGAACAATTTCCGTCTTCCTTTTTCATTTAGGGACTGTTTGGTTGCCTGAATTAGGAGGGTAAAGTAAAGCAAATACATGTATTTACTAAATTCAACTGTTTGGTTAATTTTGAGCGGAACAAAAGAAAATCCTCAGAAGCATTAGGAGTGTATTACAGGAGGCGGATCCTGCGACTTCCAAAGCCGCTCAAAATGAGCGGGTTTCAAATTATTTGCTCGAGAACCTGCTCTCGTGCGAATGAACGAAGTCGAACGACGACGAGGGAGCCGAGAAGTGACGGTGCAATCTATGTCATTGATCGACGCCAAACCGGCACTTCGGCACTCACTGCCGGGCCGTGCGTGAGGCTTTCTGCTACGCCACCATCATCGTCGCCTTCCTTGACAATCTCAAGCAGCCTCCTTTGCTCATTCTCCCTCTCCACATTCGTCTCCAGCATATCGAACAGAGCAGAGAAGTGGAAAAGAGCTTCCTTGAACCTCGTCACAAAGAACGGTGCGTTGTATGTTATGTTCACTACTCCGAGCACAAAAACATTCGGATTCAGCTTTCTGATTGTGCGCAGAACTTGATCGCTCGGGCTTTCCAGCGACACCGTCTCGTCAGCAAGGTTGCGTAGTCGGTACATGCAATTCACAGCGAGCACCTCGTCGGATTCGATGGAGAAATCCTCTGGCTGCAGATTCTGTTAGTTGCAAGCAATCTCATGGTAATCGAACGGAACATTGAACTGCCTAGCGTAGTTGGTCAGCCGTCGGCCGGTTTCTTTGATTCGTTCTGCAGGGCGGAAGCCCGGCTGAGGAACGTCGACACCGGTGATGCGAAGGCGTGGTGAGCCTCCAGGAAGTGTTCGTCGGAGTCAGAGGTGACGGAGAGGGGGAGGTGGGGGTGGGGGAGGAAGGCGGCGGGGCGGCAGGCGAGGGAGGATTTGAGGCGGGATGTACAGGAAGCTATGCACGCCAACATTACAGGAATAGATTATAAGTGGACTGCTTGCAGGTCAGATACTTTATTTTGATCATTTTAGGAATAGAAATCAGATCACTAGCTTACAAATTTTGTGTTTTTTTAAGCTGCAGTGATGTGTTGATCAAGACTTGGACAGATTCGTAGTTCTCTATGCTGTCGACTTACAAGAAGTTGATTGCTGCAGGGCTTTGGATTTGGATATTCAGGTGAGGGAGGATGAATGATGAATGTGGAATTTTTTCACTTTTAAGTAAATATATTTTTGTATCAATTTTAAGTTTTTTTTTTAAACTATACAACAACAACAACATCAAGCCTTTATCCCACTATAAATTAAGAAATTTATTTTTATTATATGCAATATTGATCATATAAAATTAAAAATTTCTATTAAATTGCTATAAAAAAACATGGAGAAAATTCAAGTCAAAAGGTAAGAATAGGAAACCAAAGATAAGAAACAGATAAAGAAGAGGAAGAGAAAGAGGAAAAGATAGAGGATGAGTATGAGAAGCATGTCAAGGAAGTCCAGGCCAATGGTGAATATGAAATCAACTGATTGAAAGAACTATTGGTGCATTCATTTTATTCATATTGTTTATCATGAAGTCTAGTATTTTAGTTTTTGCTTGTCTCTTTTTTTAAATTTTCGCAATCGCTTCTTACCTTTTGTATAAAATTAATAATAATAAATTTGCAGCATGAATCTTCATTTCTGTTGCCAGTGTGCTTTTGATAATTTTATGACAATGCATAAATAGATTAGTGATTCTAGCTTAAATTTGAAACTTCAATATTTCATTAGTTCCTCGTTGTGTTGCTCCAATGTTAAAGAACATGCTTGCAGATGAAATTGAAAGAATTCTAACTATAGATTTTAGAAATTTAGGCTTCATGTTTTTCTTAGGATGGGAGAAGAGCGAGAATGAAGCTTTAGTTCTGAAACAGCAGCTTGACGAAGGCGTTTAAGTTCATATAGTTATCATTACCTTCAATACTATGTTATTTATTTTTAGTATCCTCAAACTGAAGGCGCTAATACATGCCTCATCTATGATGGCTCACATCATAAATTGATTACGTCAGTAAAGATATATCAATATAAACTTTTGATGCTTTCTCCACCATGCTTTTAAGTTGCTTCTGCATTTTCAATTCAATGTAGATATATATTTTTATTACTGTCGATTAATTAATATGCAAATGTTGTATATACATGAAGAATACAGTCAACTCAACAAATTGGATGAGACGAAGAAATATGGAGAAAGATGTATAAAATTAGAAAGTAGATGAGAATCTCTATCACAATCATTCAAGGGAAAACAATCTTAATCTTATGGATTTTAAATATATTGCTTTTATAAATATATTATAAATTATTATAAATATAATAATAATTATTATAAATATATTACTTTTATAAATATACTTATTTTAATGTTAAAATAAATTATTACAAAAAAATGCTTTTACTTTACTCTGGATATACCTAACCAAACAAGGGAAACAATTCTCCTGCGTTTATTTTGCATATAACCAAACAGGTTCAAAGTATTTATAATGCATTACATTTACTTTACATTGCATTTACTTTACACTGCATTTCTTTTTCAGTCAACCAAACAGCCCCTTAATCTTAAAATTAGTCTCCATGCAATCATTTTTGAATGGCAGGTTGCGAAGGCAGAGGGGAAATAGCCTGTCCTACTTGCAATGCTGGGCAAGAAGCTGGGCATTATAAGCCAAATCAGATGAGCCAATGCTCTGCCTGCCATGGGAGGGGTTTGATCGCTCATCAAGATGGTTCTGATTCAATGTAATCTTTCATATATGTCATTATCCTGCTTGTAAAGTATCCAAGTTTATTAGATTTCGTATGGCTATTCTGTCACACTAACAATATATAGTAGCAAAATTTTACAGATGCAAGAAATGTAACGGCACAGGAAAGCTACCCTGTGTAACATGTGGCTCCCGTGGACTTATAAAATGCCAGGCATGTGGCGGTCAAGGTTCCCTTCTCACACGTAATGCTGCTTTTGTTCGATGGTATGTATAATCACTAATGAAGCTTTGATCATCTTTAGCTTATTGGATGGTACGCATGATCATTAATGGAGCTTAGGATGCCTTATCCATTGGTTCAAAACCCGTAAAAGCCGAGTAGATAGCTATATTTATGATTTAAAGATTAAAATATGCTCTTTTATGTGATAGTTATGCTTTATATTTGGCGTCTACTTTTTCATATGGATGCCAAATGTATGCCCTTAATATAGGAGGACACTTTCAACCCGCAAAGTTGCTGCTTCGAGTGGAGCTGCGTCAGTTCCTGATGAGGTATTCCACAAAGCAAGGGGCGTCCAGCTTTACAACACACAAGCATACCAGTGCACACCTGCCTTCTTTGCAGATTCTTTCCACCTCAACAGGTTCTCATCAGAAGTTATAGCCGAGCGGTCTCCCATTCCTGCCGCTGCTAGAGTCATCTGTGAGAGGCATGTAATTTCTGTTGTTCCTGTCACTCGTGTAACAATGGCTAATCATAACCGATCCTTCAGTTTTTATATCATTGGCTTTACAAGGGAGATCTACATAAGAGATTATCCATCAAGCTTCTGCTGGGGCCTCTGCTGCTGTTTTGAATGGTTGAAAAGGTAATGTTTCTCCCTCTCTGAATAAGTTTGAGGGAAATGGGTAATGCTATATACATCTTTATGGATTATTGTTTATTGTGTGTAAACAAACAGAAGAATATTGAGTGCAAGCAGAAATGTTATTGTGAATAAATTGTTGACTTCCAAGTATTTCAATTCCGGAGCCACATTGTTGTTCTGTTAAAAAATGTCTTGTTTGTCCTCAAGGCATAATCTAGCTTTCTTCTTGTTGCGTCCGGGAGTATTCGCAGCGGTAGAGAAATATAATATTTAACGTCTTAACTTTGTACAAAAATTCGGCACGCAATCAGATAAGAGACAGGGTGTTGCATTTATAGTAGACATCAAAATTTTTACGTGAAAAACCCCTAAAAAAGGGGAAAAATCACGGGCCTAGCCCAGTTTGAATGAATCCACCATTATTTGCATTCGATTACAATTGAGGCCCTTCCTTAGGGGGAAGGCCTTGGCTTGATGTACATTATATGAAGAACATAATGAGAATAGAAAGAGTCATTGTTGACTTGTTTGTTTGGTCGGAAGGACTGCAGTCGATGGACGACGTAAGCCGGAAGGACCGTAGTCGACAGACGACAGAGGTCGAAAGTTGTATGTCTCGGTGGGCGACGTAAGCCGGAAGGATCGTAGTCGGTGGATGACGTAAGCCAGAAGGACCGTAGTCGGCGGACGACGGAAGTTAGAAGCATCGTAGTCGGCGGGCGACGGAGGTCATAAAGACTGTTGTCTGGCGACGGAGGTCGAAATGACTGTGTCAGGTAGAAGTCCAGATGGGCAGAAATCCAGCATTGGATAGATGTCCGACGGAAATATGACAACGGGCAAAAGTTTAGCGTCGGGTAGAAATCTGGCGACGAGCGGAGGTCCGTCGTCGGGCAGAAGTCTGAATTCAGTTGGCGACCGGACATAACTCTGGCATCACTAGAAAGTCGGGCGGAATTCCGGCATCACTTGAACGTTAGACAGAATTGCGGCGTCACTTGGGAGTTCGACATAAGTTCGGCGTCACTTGGGCTTCGAGTAGAATTCCGGCGGTGGTCGAGGAGTTTCTTCCCTCATATTCTTCTCTTCTTCTTGCTTGGGTCCCCTCTCAAGAGAAATGAGGGGTTATTTATAGTTTTTTGAGGATGGCATGATCCGTAAATAGGAGGAGGATCAAGGGCAAATGTGCGAATGGACGGCCGATATTGAATCCCTTGATCGTGGACCGTTCATCAGACATTTGAAAGTCTTAAAGATATCGGAAGTCGGCGATATTGGGCTCGTTGGATTCGTCTCATTGAGCCGCTCAATTCGACTATAAGCACGTTATGTTTGGAAACCGTTTGGTAACTCAAATTGTTGTTCAAACTTTTCAACAGCGCTTCGGGTCCTTGATTTGGACTCATTTGGGCTTGGATTGAGTTGAATTTGGTGTCTTTGGGTTCATATTTCCGAGACGCTCAGTTCGACTATAAGTTTGCTGAAATCGGAGTTCAGGTGATCCCATATTTAATTTTTGAAATTTCCGGCTAGATTTTGCCTCAAGATTCGTGTCCGATCAAGATAACTTTTTTATGATATATCACTTCTCATAACAAAATGTATTAAAATGTGAAGACAATAATATTTTATTAAATGATTTTCTTGTGTGTTCACTTGAAAATTTAGGGTTTAGCCAAAATATTCAATTGGATTTATTTTAAAATGAGTATAATATAGAGTTGACTAATTAGTCACGTATTTACACATATAAGACTAAGATCAAAGAAAATTTTTGGTTCGTAATCATGATGACAGACATTTAGAAAGTGGTCACATCTTAAACTCCACTTAGAGTTATAATTTAAATGACAAATTATCAAAGATATGAAATATTTTTGGATTGCAAATATAAAAGTAAGGGTAAGTGACATGGCCAACGGAATTGGTTTGATCATGCATGAATTTTGATGCAGATTTCCATATCTCAAAGTACACTAGTATTTGATCTCAAAATTCAAAGTACTGAATTTGAGATCATTTGGAGTCCAATTTTTTTGGTAAATATATAGATTAGTCAACTAACATCAACTATACTAAGAATGCTTGAATTTCGGCTCAATTTGACTAAAATCAAGCCCTTGGAGTTGTATATTTGTACATGCCTCCACAAGTTTAACAGATAGTTGGCAGGTCATGGAGAAGAATTCACGCTAGAAAAGGGGGCCCACCTAGATAATTAGCCGAACGATCCAAGAGGAGCTACTCACCTCAAACTCATAGGGAGCTTAACCAGGTTGATCAGCAGGTGCTACTCACCCAAGCCTACTAAGGAACTCACCCTTTGTGGGGTGGATTGGAGATTCTTCACCAAATTAGCAACTCTCCACACACCTAGATCACCACCTTAGTCACTCACTCCTTCTCAGAGCAACCTCAAGCACTTGCTCTCTACCATAATGATCTTCTTCCCCAAACTCAACAACAAGAAAGCATTGCTCATAGGACCCTTGGCCTATCTCGTTGCAACCATCGAACTCTAAGCATTCTATTCTTTTGACAACATCTCACTTGCATCTTCCTTTTGAAGTAATCTAAGATCCCCCGTACAAGTCGTTGGCAAAGTCATCGAGCATGTACATATCCCCTTTCATCATTACTCACCCAAACACACTCTCTCTCGTCCACTCAGAATTGCTGGACTAGCCTAGAAGTGACTCGCTGAAGCTTTCCGATCTCACTCTCCTTTAGCCAATCAGAATGAGACAAGTACTTCGGGAAGCGTGTAGCATTGTATGGGTATCATGTGCAGTGTTATATATTTTTTACTTTTCTTTGCATAGCCTTTTTTGTAGCTTTTCATAACCTTGTAAATAAGGGGTGATAAGAAATGTTTGGGATCTTTTGGATCTTGTTTTTTATTTTATATTGAAAGTGGATACTTTGTTGGTTTGAGGTTCATTACCTTTTTGAACATTCAATAACATTTTTCTCTACTCTCTCTCCATCCTCTTCATTCACACATGTTCAACTATGTAGCTCGCTAGTTATATTTGCTAGTATTGTTAGGCATCATCGGTGGATAAATTTGGATCCAACCTGAATTATAGTTGGAAACTTATCGAGATCATTCAAAGGGTCAAATGACCAATAAAATTTAGTTGCTTATAATCAAAATCAATATCTCATCGAAAAGAAACAACAAGTTCAAGATCATGTTTTTGAGTTTATTAAAAAATTAAAAAACCACTAAGTATGAAAGAATTGGGGGGTAGGGGGCTATTCAAATCATCAGAGATGGACTGTCAAGGATTTAAGTAGAAAGTGCACCTCCAAAAATTATAAATTAATCCTATTTTTATACATTCTATGAATATTTTTGTTAAAAGAAACTCAATATTAGTTGTATAATTCTATAGCAATAAACCTGATTTGAAATCTCCAGTTAATTGTTGAGTTTTGTGAGTCGTGCTCTTCTTTATTTCCTTGGTTATGTAATCTTCTCCAAAATCTAAAGCAGATTCAAGATTTTTTGGGTTGAGATGCAAATGCGCAAGCGAGTGCTTCAAAAGCGAAGAAAATTGTTGAGCGTATTCTAGAAATTACTACTATCGATCGTAGGAGGTGTCGTAGGAGGTGAAGCATCACCTAAAAAACAAGTGAAAATGGAAACATCAAATAAACTTTTCTTGGTAGAACCCACTAGCTTTCTTCCTCTCAATGGTTTGGCTCATTTGACAGAATATATCATAAAATAGACTATTAATTATTGGAAATAGATAAGTTGAAGTTAGAATGTCATTGAATGGTGAAGATGAAGTTTTTAGGATTTTGTTAAGTTTTGTGGGGATACTAAATGAGGAACATCTTTTTGAAAATGAATATCTATCTTATTAAAAATATGAATTTATTTATAAAACTAAACCTTTGAACTTAACCATTAATGTCCTTGGGGGAAGAAGAAATCTTAGGTTACATTTTGAAATAGTGATTTTTTATTCAGAAGTGTTTCTATTGCCTACCGTTGAGGTATTTTATAATTTTTAAATTTAATCTCATTTTATTTTAATTAATGAAATGCATCAAAAATATGAAAGAAATATATGTGATGTGATGTTATGCTGGTGCCAATGGACGACTGAGATGAAATTCTATTATGCCGACGCTAATGGGCAACCGAGGTGGGATTCTGTTATATCGGTGTCAGTGGACGACCGAGATGCGATTCTATTATGCCAGGGCCTGAGGGCAACCGAGGTGGGATTCTGTTAACTAATCTATACATCATTTGGTTTCAATTTTAGCTTATGCTTTAGTTTCAGCTTTAATTTTTCTTCATTACCTTTATTTCTATTGCTATTGATATTGATAAAACAAAAATTGATGGCTATGATTATTACTTCTTAAAAGATAAAGAATAATTCTTCCCAATCAGATTATGGGGCATCACATTATTGGCTTTGCTTAATTAGTTGATAGTGTCAAGATTATATAGACTGATTTAATTACGGTTCAACATTGATGAACTATGAGCAGGAAAATATTTAGCGATGAGACCTATGAAAGTAGCCATTATATGAAGAAGAGCAAGTTTGGACATGTTGAGTTCAGAATGAGAGGACAATCAATAACAATTTCTTATAATTACTATAGTTTGGTGTTATACTCACGTGATATACTGATTGTGAGTTATATGAAAATGATTACTTTATCGACTGGCAAATAATGATGATTCTATTTACTGAGTCAATAGTTTAATAACACTAATACAATAATGAAAAACACCGTAATAGCCAGAAGTCTTACTTGTTTGTGTGACTACTAAAATAAATGTCATTAAGGTAATGTTCATATTAATGTACATATATATTATTATCACAATTACTGATTTATTGATACAAAAAATATGATATATACATTAAGTATGTGGTATACATAATATATTGATTTAATACTAATACTAATATAGAATAATAAATAGTATGTTACACTCCTATATAATTTTACTACATTGATATAATTTCGACAGTCTTTATTGATAATTTGATTTTATTGCTTTAGATAATTTCTCTACTGATTGTAGTATTGATATAATGATTACTATTATGATTTGACACTCATATTGATTTACTATCTTTCATATCATATAATTTTACTATTTATGTACTGATTCAATG